TTACAAACAATATAGACATTTTGAATACTGATGGGAAATTAAAATTTAAAAAAAGCAAAAACAGAACATTGATTGACTATATGGATGTTAAGTGCAAATGCAATTAAGATATGTACTGGTTAGAAAAGTTACTTAAAACTGACACTGTTGTTATTATTATTATTATTAATAATAATAATAATAATAATAATAATAATAATAATAATAATAATAATAATAATAATAATAATAATAATAATAATAAAGTTGGAAGGGACCTTGGAGGTCATCAAGTCCAACCCCCTGCTCAGGCAGGAAACCCTATACCATTTCGGACAAATGGCTGTCCAGTTTCTTCTTAAAAACGTCCAGTGTTGGAGCATTCACCGCTTCTGGTGGCAGGTTGTTCCACTGGTTAATTGTTCTAACTGTCAGGAAGTTTCTCCTTAGTTCTAGTTCTATTGATAAATGTAACAAAGATGTTTATATTGAGCTGATAACAATAAGAATTGTATTTGACCAGCATGGGAAAATAGGTATTGCTGGAAGAAGAGAGGAAATTTTGTTTTGTTGATGTAATATTGGATTTAGACTAAAGAAGTTAATATCGCTGAATTAGTAATGGATCCAGACAACAGGTTGCTTATAAAATATTTGACTGTAAAACCAGAAAATTAATAAAACATTTATAAAAAAAAGAATGCTTTAGCTCCACTCCCAAATACTATATATTAACACATGTATCACTTCCTTTAAAATTTAAGGGAAACCTTATGAGGTTTGTTTCCTGCTGAATTTCTTAATCTTTGTTTCTCTGAGATCTTAAAACAATTGCAACACATCAGCCAATGCAACAATCACTGCAGTTTGAATCATTAAATTTATCATCTAGAAATACGTTTTATTTATTCAGTTTATATGCCTTTCAATTCATTTTTTTAAAAAAAATCCATTAAAATTTATTAATTTATTTGTAGTTCAACCTTCTTAACCATCCATCTCCCTCATAGAGGGGCCCTTGGTGGTGTGCAATTTAATTAATACAATAAAACATTAAAAACCAAATAACGTAAATGTCATGGTTCTGATAGATGAGACCAGTTGAAAGAACTTCAAGGCAAGAAAGCTTCCTTAAAGAACATGTTTATTTGGCTACATAGTATTGGCACGAACAAAGGTGAACCCAAGATTGAAATCCCCCGCCTTTAAAAAAATTTAAAAGCAAAAAACAACATTATAAAATTACAAAAAAATTGAGAGTTTACAATAGGGAGACTAGGAGTTTTAACACAGAGGGGAAAAAAATTGTCATGAGGCCAACTAGTCCCATGACTGTGTGGACCTCCAGGTTTTGAACCCTAAAATCTGTTCATTCTGAGTAATTTTGTGCAGCATTATATTATAACAATATAATTTTTTTCTTTTTGAAATTGTTCTATATAAAAAGTTTCTGTTTCATTTCTATTCATTACTGGAAAAGTGGCAACATCACAGCTAGAAACAAAAGAAAAAAGAAGAAAAAGAAACTCATTCAATATGAGGAAGTGGGGAATTCAATTCTTTTTTCAGTTCCCTTTTGATCATTATGAGCAACCTGCTTCTGAGTAAATGCCGTACTTTGAGTCTTTGAGCTGATTAAAAAGCAGGGAGTGTATCAAACGATCACATTATGGGACTTCCCAATAATGCAATCACCACTTATCGTAAACTGACTGGACACTGACCACCTCAGAAATTGGGTTGCAATGAATAATAAGCTTGAGAAAACAAAATCGTTTATTATAATCTTGAATTTCTTTGGAACAAAAGGCATTGGTGAAGCATTTTGTTTGAAGGTTGGTGATGTCCTGATTCAGGTCTCTTAAAAGTCTTCAGTCAATCTGAACCTAGAAACATCTTAATTAAATTTCACAACATCACAGGTGTCCTCTCTAAATTATTGCACACCCAAAAGAATAGTAGACCGTGCGACCTTCCTTAAAACAGCTCTTTTACTCACCCACCCACCCTTAGACAGAAGAACAGAAGACTTTATTAATGTTATTCCATAATTTCTTGGTGTCTCTTCAACGCCTTTCCTTGAGGATAACAAGGATTAAAACAGCTGCTGCAGCAAAAAGGTTTGCAGAGGTAAACATAAACCATTATACACAGATTTGTTCAGACACCATTCTATAAAAGCCTCTTGTCTCTCGTGTATACCTAACACATAAGAGGTTAGATATGGACTGCTGGTTAGATGTGACTGCTCGCAAGACAGGGGGAAGGAAAAACGTGACTAGCTAAAGACCTGTTGAAATGAAAACTAAATCCTTTAAAATAGTGGCCCCTGTTCTGTTAAACAATGTTATGGGATATTTTAAATTGTCAGTCTTTGATTTAGCTCTGCTTAGTTAGAGAACAGACAGAAAAGTTCATAGGACATACTTAGTATATTTTCAAATGAGGTACAGGAAATATTGTAACTGTGACCTCACTCCTAGTAGGAGGCTATGTTTCAATTTTGGGAGACTTCTGCAAGCAGGTCCCAGGAAGCAGGAATTCTACTCTTCTCCCTTCTTTCCTGTTCCAGGAAACCAAAGGTGGTTTTTGATTTACAGTATCTGTGCTCTGAGGGTCCACACCCATTTGCCCTATTCAGGTGACCCAGAGAGTACAGATAAACCTCCAAGAGGCCTCAACGACTTTCAGAAAGAGTATTAACAACCAGATGACTGCAAGGAATATAAATCCACCATTCAGTCAGTCACCTCTTGGATGAGAAGTGAAATGCCTTCAAGGAGAAACAAAGTCCAGTTTTGAAAAAGCATCTTTGGGACAATCATGACCAAATCTCTATAGACTGTTTCAGGAAAGTTGATTTCCATTCTGCCAAAGGGAAAAGAAAAAAGAAAATTAATTTTCATTCTGCCAAAAGAAATGGGATGCCTTCCTTCCTTCTTCTACTGGTGATCAAGGTTGGAGAATGGAAATTCTCTGAATAAACCCCCAGATCACCTTTCCTGCATCTGAGATTTCCCCCTGTTCCATATCACACCTTTAAATTTTGATTTCCTAGAAATAAAAAGGCAAAAATATTTGCTGTGTTTCATGAGAATTTCAATGGAGAAGGGAAATTTGGTTGGAGTTGGATGCCAACTAAGTTAGCTGCCCCTCAGCGCCACTGAAATTAGTGGGAACTAAGTAATTGTTGATTTGTAGTGAGTTTCAGTAGGGACCTATTTGTAACTTAGTGAGTCCAACACAGAATTTAAGCCTCTGATAATAAACTCAGCTAAAACTGCAATAATCATTAATAAGGGCTGTTAAATATAAAATATATCCAATAGCCAATATTTAGATAAATAAGGAGAAGGAAATGGATAGAAAGAAAATTTTGTTTGATCACAGAGCAAAATACGTAGGACCAGCTGAATGCCGCTCATGATTTACAATAAAATATAAGGAGGGAGAGCCAGTTTGGTGTAGTGCTTAAACCATCAGACTAGAAGCCAGGAGATATGTGAGTTCTAGTCTGACCTTAAGCAAAACGTCAGCTGTGCGATCTGGGGCCATTCATTTTCTCTCAGCTCTAGGAAGGAAGCACATTACCACCTAGCCTTTACTTGCAGAGAGCAGAATTATCAACTCAGTGGGATGTTTGGGTCTTGGTCAATCAGAAGATATCTAGCATGTCCATGTCTAGGAAAGGAGGAATTTCTCTCTAGCTTGGCTTTATTTTCTAGCTGTGATGTCACCACTTTTTCAGTAATAGCTAGAAGTGAAAAAGAAAAGAAGACAGAGAAATACAAGCATCCACTCCTAAATACAGAACAATCTAAAATGAAAACCTAACTAACAACATAAAGCTACACAAAATGATTCAGAATGAATTGAAGGGTCTTCTTAATGAGTTTTTTTGAGTGAACTGAAAGACATGCATGCAGTCCTCAACTTACAGCCATTCTTTTAATGACTGTTCAGAGTTACAGTGGCACTGAAAAAAGTGACTTATGACTGGTCCTTGCCCTTACAATCGTTATGGTAGCCAAAGAGGTGGTCAAAATTTGGGTGCTTGGCAACTGGCATGAACTGCTGATGATTGCAGCATCCCAGATTCACGTGATCACCATTTGTGATCTTCCCAGTTGACTTCCAACAAGGGAAGTCCATGGGGGGAGCTGGAGTCAGTTAACAACTGTATGATTCACCTAACAACCGTGGCAAAAAGTTATAAAATTGGGCATAACTCACTCAGCAGCTGCCTTGCTTAGGAACAGACATTCTGCTTTCAATTGTGGTCATAGGTTAAGGTCTACCCGTACAAACTTAACAAATAAATAAAATAATAATAATAATAATAATAATAATTTAATTTGTTCCCCGCCCTTCTCCTCATGGGACTCAGGGCGGCTAACAGCCTCATAAAAACCACAATACAAATACAATGACATCTATATTAAAAGCCGAATTAAAAAGAAATATTTAAGAAGGCCGATTATTAAAATTATCCTTAAAATACCCTTAAAAAACCCCGCTAAAAAATCCCTAGGCCAGACCCGCTTGTTGAAAAAGCCATGNGCCAGCCGGCACTGTCTGGCTGACGGCACCCTGAGGAGACCCACTCTGTGGGAGCGTACCGGCCGATGGGAGGTAACCTGCGGCAGAAGGCGGTCTCGGAGATATCCAGGTCCGATGCCATGGAGCGCTTTAAAGATGAGAACCAGCACCTTGAAGCGCACCCGGAAGGCCACCGGCAGCCAGTGCAGCTCGCGCAGCAGCGGCGTTACATGTATTTCTAGATTATTAGTGTAATGGTTCAAATGATTTAAAATGGTTTAATGGCTCAAACTGCTGTGGCTGTTGCACTGCTGATATGCTGAAATCATTTTAAGATCTCAGAAAGCGAAGGGTTGAGGAAGTCAAATTTTTCCTTCGGCAGCACATATATTAAAATTGGAACCACACAAGAAAGTGATCAGGAAATGAATCTTATGTGGGTGGGGAGACTATGGGGTTAAAAGAAGTGATACTTATGTGTTAACATGTAGCAACTGGGAGTGGAGCCCAAGCATTCTTGAGAGTTATCACCAGCAAGAACACCAAGAAACAAATTCTAAACTGTGAGTTAGTATTTCTTTATCTCTTTAACCATTTAAGAGTTGGCAAATTATATTCTTTTTTTATAGATATTTTATTGAATTTGTATGGTTACAAATCTTTAGTGCTTAATAAACAATGTGTTGTCTGGGTTCACATATTTAACATTAGTGGTAATACAATTTCCATTTCTACTCTCTATTCACTTTTCTAGCCATTTATAAAAGTTATCCCATTTTTGAAAATTCTCTGTATCTTCTTTCCCTTTCATTTTCAATGTAAGCCTATCCATTTCCGCACAATCCAAACTTTTTCTAATTATATCTTCTTCCGATGGTGTTTCTTCCTTTTTCCAATGCTGTGCAAATGTAATTCTCACTGCTGTTAGTACATGTAATATTAAATATATACATTTTTTCATAGTTCTCTGTAATTATACCTAAAAGAAATAGTTCTGGCTTAAAATCTACATGTTTTCTTAACATTTTCTGTAACTACATGTGTCTTTTTGACCAAAATATTTTTGCTTTAGGGCATGTCCACCAAAGATGGTAATACATGCCTGGCTTTTGCCTACATTTCCAACAGTTAATAGACATGTTTTTAAACATATTTACTAATCTTGCTGGTGGTAAATGCCATCTATAAATCATTTTATATAGATTTTCTTTATAAGTAGTTGCCCTTATTATTTTATAGTTTCTTTCCCACAACTTTTGCCATTTTTCTAATTCTACATTGTGTCCAAAAAGTTTGCCCAAGTTATCATTGTTTCTTTAACTTGTTCATCTTCCACCTTCAGGTTTAACAAAAATTTATAGATTTTTTTAATCAATTTTTCATCTGTTGACAATAGAATCTGGTCAAAAACTGTTTGATCATTGTAAAAGCCATATGTTTTGGCATCTTTTTTGTATCTCATTTGTATTTGTAAGTATGACCACCATGATAGCTCAATACCCTTTTCTTCCAATTCTTGTTTAGTTTGTAATTTCCCATCAGTATTCAAAATGTCTCTGCATGTCACAAGTCCCTCATAGTTGATTATTTTTTTCTGTCTCTGAATAGTTCTTAAAATTGCAGCTCAAGCAATGTTTGTAATCCAGGGATTGTAATCTTTTATATTTATTCTTTATAATCTTTTTGATATGCAGGTTTCAGGTTGGAAGTCATTTCATTGTTTATTTCGTTCTGGCACTGCCATTTTAATGCATAAGCATAGCAGTGGGAATCTAGATAATGCCAAAGACATGCTATAATATTGTTCTGATGACAAAGTACCACTTATCAATTTCATTGAAGAATCTTTGATGAGAACTCTCAGCAACTTTAAATTTGCTTGCCAAATCTTGCCAAATCAAATGACCAAATGACCTGAATAAATTATTAGTGATAGTAGGTAAAACCATTAATAGATCTGAATCTCATCTCTCAAGAAACCATTTGAAGGCACTCCCGCTGTTGTTGCTTGGAATTCCTTTCTGATTTGCGAAAATGTATGCAAAGCTTCATTTGAGGAAAATATAGGACTGAATGTGGGTGGAAATATCTCTTGGTGGAAGGACAGGCTCAGTTCAGATTGGGATGCTCCCTGGGAGACAATTGTTTTATTCTATGGTATATTGTGAAATACGCACCCATTGGCAGGAAATTGTGTGCCACCTTTATAGTTTTTGACAGCATAAAGAGAAATGTTTTGTGGAAGAAACTGGACACATTTAATCATGGAACCTGGATTCTTCTTTCTGGTAAGGCTCTCTATTCAGATATATATTTGAAAGTGTATACTGGGGTCAAGCACTCTCAGTTTTCCCAGGGAGTTTATCATGGCACTAAAATCACCCCCAAATTCTTAGCATACAAAGTAATCAAGATGCGTAACTATAAATGATCAAAGTAATGAACATCAATAACCTAAACTTAATGTTGTCCTCCAGTTCCATCCCAGACCTCTTGGCCAGTGACAGACCAGAGACATTCGGTACAATGAATGCCCTGCATTTTGGTGCTTCGTTCTTTTGCTTCATCAGCCTTCTGTGCTTGCTCACTGCTTTGAGTTCAGACTATTGGATAGTGGATTCCAGCGAACATTTTGGTCTATGGAAAATTTGTAACCACCGAATATGTAACTCACTAGGTGTGGAGTTAGTATCAGGTAAGATTCAGTATTCCAAATGCATCACTAGCCTGTGAAATGCACAAGAACCTCCATCTTGAATTCTTACCTTGTGTCTGCATTGGCTCCCGACAGCCTCTTTTCATGCCACCCGAACCTTTATGTTTCTGGGGATGATCGCTGGAGCTGCCTCTCTCGTTGGGCTTTGCACCCTGAATAAAAACTGCAGTCTTGGCAATAGCAGTATCTCCACGGGCTGGATCGCATATATTGGCAGCTTTATGGCAGGTAAGCATCTTTGCAAGAGTCTTTCCCCAGATGTGTTTTTTGCGTGACTTAATTAAGTACTATCACTACTATTTATAGTATAGTATAGTATAGTATAGTATAGTATAGTATAGTATAGTATAGTATAGTATAGTATAGTATAGTATAGTATAGTATAGTATAGTATAGTATAGTATAGTATAGTATAGTATAGTATAGTATAGTATAGTATAGTATAGTATAGTAATATACTATTATAGGAACTATGGTAGCATAGTGGTTAGAATGCAATATTTCAGGCCAATTGACTCAGCCTTCCATTCTTCTGAGATCAGTAAAATGAGGACCCAGATTGTTGGGGGCAAAATGCTGATTCTGTAAACTGCTTAGAGAGGGCTGTAAAGCACTGTGAAGTGGTATGTAAGTACAAGTGCTAATGCTATTTGAAACTTCCTCTTTATCAAATTATTTAAAAAAAACAACCCCACCCATACTGTCATTTTAGTAATGCAGACTTGGCAATAACTTCAAGAGCTGGATTGCATCTATTGCCAACTTTATCACATGTAAGGAAATTGCTATTTGATACTTCCTCTTTATCACGTTATTTCAAAGAAGACCCCACCCATAATGTCATTCCTAATTCTACATTCTGCCTGCTTTTGAAATTGATTTTAGTTCATGTTTCCTGAGGAAGCTTCAAATAGGAATAGCACTTATGACTAATATACTGCTTCACGTGTTTTACAGCCCTAGTGGGCATTTCCAAGGGCAGAAAAGGCATGGCTCCAGTATCTCCCAAGAAGGCATTGTTTAGTTGACGGGAGATGAGCGACATCCACCTTGTCAGACTTTGCAGGATGGACAGGGACAATGGGACAAAGACAGTCCCATAAACAGCCAGGGACCAAATAAGGAAAGGCTTTATAGATGGAAACCAACACCTTGAGTTCCACTCAGAAACCAACTGGCAACCATTGCAGCTCTTGAAGTGGTGGTGTCAGGTGGACAAACTGAAGTGGATTCATAATTACTTGTGCAGCCACTTTATGGACTAACTTTAGTTCCCAGTGCATCTTTCAAGGGTGTCTTCAAGTGTGGCACTATATACACTATCCCAGAGAAGAGATGGCTAAAGCATGAGTGACTGTGAGAAGAGCCTTTTGTTTCAGGAAAGGAGGCAGTTCAGTGTTAGAAGCGAGCCCTGGTGGTGCAGTGCAGTACTGCAGCTACTTCTGCTGACTGCCATCTGCCAGCAGTTTGTCAGTTCGATTCTCACCGGCTCAAGGTTGAGCCAGCCTTCCATCCTTCTGAGGTTGGTAAAATGACTAGCCAGATTGCTGGGGGAAAAATGCTGACTCTGTAAACCACTTAGAGAGGGCTGTAAAGCCCCTTGAAGAGGTATATAAGTCTAAGTGCTATTGCTATGTATAAATGGAAAAATGTGAAACCGAGCAAACAAAATCGGCAAATTAACATAAGATGCTTTTCAAAAGGCAACTGGGCTTTGTTTTTCCTTGAAGATTTTTCTCTTCTCATGCAAGAAGCTACATAGAGTTCTTTCCTTGGATGAGAAGCAAAATGTCTTCAAGGAAAAAGAAATTAACCCATTCTTCTCTATGCCACTTTCTGAGTTTGGAGCAAATATGAAATACTTGGACTATCTCAATGCAATAAGCACCCCAAGAGGTTGCCGCCTTCTTTATATTGAGAGCAGAAAAGCCCATTGGTGTCTTCCATACTTCTGAAGGAAATGTTTCTACCTCTACCTCTTCCTTGATTTCCAGGCTTCTGCGTCATGATTGCCATGTCCGTTTTCACAGGACAGTTTGGTCCCACCAGCCTATATGGATGGTCTTTCGGCTTAGGCTGGACCTCTTTTCCATTGTACCTTCTAACTGGTAAGGATCTTTTCTGGATACTCTGGTGAGATTTTTTTTAAAGGTACATCTGTATGCATTCTGTATATTTTAACAACAGTGAAATTTGTTTCATTTTGGGTTGGAAACTAAGTGCATTTCCTTCGAAGGAGAGTAATCAGCGAACATCTAAACATACAAACATCCAGATATTCTTTATTACAGCTTATCCAACTCCTTGCTTTCTTGGGACCAAAAATAGTTGAAGTTCAGGACATTTAGAAGACACTAGGTTACCTGATGTACCTAACATAAAGATTGCATGCAATTAAGAGCAATGGATCTATTCTGGAACATTGACTTTTGAGGATTAGAGCTTGGCCATAAGGAGATGAATAAAGAGATGAGGTTGAGTTCAAAGCTCCATAGATTCTTGAGTTTTTTTTAAAAAAAAATCTACTTCATCTGCTGTGTGGCTAATCTGTTATTTTTTTGTCTTTGGACAGGTTCTCTTCTTTATAGATTGCATACGAATACAGCAACATAAGCATAGGAGAAATATGGTGCTGCCTTTGGAGATGAGCAGTGAAGCTGCACTGATAACCTGGAGGCACAGAGAATGTCCAATCAGAATTATTTGCCCTGCAACAAATTTATAAGATGAAGGATGAAGGCAGAAGAATTAGTTTAACTTTAGAAAAACAGCCGTACGTTCCCAGCCCCTCCCTGTCCCATTTTTCTCAAAAATATTCAGATTGTTTCTTTCTGAAGGTCATTCGGATTTGCAAATGTTAAGAACTTTGGGAGACTTCTGCAAGCAGGTCCCAGGAAGCAGGAATTCTACTCTTCTCCCTTCTTTCCTGTTCCAGGAAACCAAAGGTGCTTTTTGATTGATCTGTGCTCTGAGGGTCCACACCCATTTGGCCTATTCAGGTGACCCAGAGAGTACAGATAAACCCCCAAGAGGCCTCA